TGTTAAAAAATTACTGTGAAATAAATAAGTAAAAATAAGTAATAACAATACAGAAATGAAAACTCTAAAATAGAATGAAGAATTCTGTAATTGAATAAAACTATCTGATATCAAAAATATATTGGATGGGCTTAGAACAAATCATAGAAAAAAGAAGAAAGGATTGCTGAACTTGAAAGTAGGTCAATAGAAGTTATCAAAACTGCAACATAGAGATAAAAACAATTAAAGAAAATAGCAAGCAGCCTAATATGCATGTAACTGGAGTCTCATAATAAGAAGTCTGAGAGAGAATTAAGCAGACTTTCTTTTGAAAAAATAATTATTTTCTTCTACAGTTTTGAGGAAAAAAAATTAGCCCAGCTATCCAAACCTATCAGAACTCAGAAATACCAATCAGCTTAAATGTCTACTATAACCAAGCAGTTAAAAACCAAGACTAAAATGAAAATATTACAAAGCACAAACAAACATAAAACAACCAGAATGAAAGATGTTACATACAGGTGAACACTCAAGAATTATAGGTAGCATTTCATCTAAACAAGGCAAGGCAGGAAACATTAGAAGATTATGTTAAATTTTTGATCCAATCAAAATATATTTTATGAATAAAAGCTAATAAAGAAGTTTTAGATAAATAAAAGCTAATAAAGATTTTATAACAAAAGGACCTGCACTATATAAAATGCTACAAAAGTCTCACCAGGCTAAAGCAGAAAAGTAACAGATAGAAACTGGATCTCATGACAGAAATGCAGAAAGTGGGAAATTATAAATTTTTTGCAAATATAAGTGAGGGTTTTTCTCTTTTAATAATTCATTTTTAAAAAATTTAACTGTTTAATGTAAGAAAATATGTTGAAATAAAATATATGACAACAATAGTGTAAAGGATATCATATGGTTCAACCAGAATATACTGCTTTAAGGTTTTATTACATTTATGTAAAGTGGTATATTTCTTGAGGATACACTTATAAATTCAAAAGGTAAATGTTTTAATTCTGATAGTGACCACTAGAAATTTATAAACAAGTATAGCTCAAAAGGCAATAAAGAAGATAAAATGAGTTATTTTTTTAACTATGCAATACAAATGAAGACAAGGAGGGAAAAAGGAACAAAGCACAGGGGATACAAGTAGAAATCAATTAGTATGATGACCAATATAAATTTAATAATATTAAAAATTACATTAAATATACACAATCATTAGATTATAATTATATTCAAAAATAGATTATCAGACTGATACAAAGCAAGATTATACTATGTGCCATTTGTAAAAACAATTTACAAATATAAAAGTACAAATAAGTTCAAAGTAGGAAGATGAAAAAGCATAAACCTGAAAATAATACTCATCATAATATGACTACAGGCATAGCAGCTTTCAAGTAAAGAAATGTTGCCAGAGAAAAACACATTTCATAATGATAAAAGGAGTATTTCATTAAAAAGACACAGGAATCCTGCACGTGTAGGCATCTCTGGACAGAAGCTCAAAATAAATGAAGCAAAATGTAACAGATATAAAAACCCAAATAAAGTTATATTGTGAGAGTTTAAATTTTCTTCCCAATAATTGAATGAATAGACAAAATATATTAGTAAGGATATAAGAGGTCTAAATAACACAGTTGACTCTCATAATATATTTGTTGGTGGAATGTAAATTGGTGCAGCCATTATGGAAACCAGTTCCTAAAAAAGTTAAAAATAAAATTACAGAGTTACCCAGCAATGCCTCTTCTGTGTATATATCCAAAGACATGAAATCAGCATTTCATAGAGATGTCTATGCTATCATGTTCATTGCGGCATTATTCATAATCGTCATTATTCACATAATATTATATATGATAATATATCATAAGGTATTTTGGAACTCTATATTCAACAAAGCCAGAATACACATTCTTTTCAAATACAAATAGAATGCTCTTTAAGATGACTAATATGCTGGATTGTAGAACAAGGTTCAGTAATTGTCAAAAGACTGAAATCATACAGTATGTTTTTGACCACAGTAAAAGTTCTAAAATTGTATATATTTAAGATGTATAACATGTTTTGATATACATATACATAGTGGAATGATTACTAAACTTAAGCCAAGTAACATATCCATCATCTCACAGTTATTTTTTTTTTGTAGTAAAAACACCTAAAACCTACTCTCTTAGCAAACTTCTAGTGTACAATACATTATTATTAACTATAGTCCTTGTGCTGCACATTGGATGTCTAGACTTATTCATCCTACATAACTGCAACTTTGTACCCTTTGACAAACATCTCTCCATCCCAATACCCCCTCCCCACCCCATGAAATGGTCACCATGTTCTGTAATATGCTTCTATATATTTGACATTTTTTAGATTTCATATATAGATGAGATTGCATAGTATTTTTCTTTTAGTGTGGCATATTTCACTTAGCAGAATGTCTACCAGGTTCATCTATATTGTCACAAATGGCAGAATTCTCTTCATTTAAGGCTGAATAATACTTCTCTCTGTGTGTATGTGTATGTATCTCCCAATTTCTTTATTCATTCATTAATCAGCAGACACCTAGGTTGTTTCCATATCTTGACAATTGTGAATAATGCCGCAATGAACATGATAGCACAGACATCTCTATGAAATGCTGATTTCATGTCTTTGGATATATACACAGAAGAGGCATTGCTGGGTAACTCTGTAATTTTATTTTTAACTTTTTTAGGAACTGGTTTCCATAATGGCTGCACCAATTTACATTCCACCAACAGAGTAAAGGTCTCCTTTTCTCCACACTTATGCAACACTTGTTACCTCATGTCTTTTTGATAATGGCCATTAGGTGATGTCTAATTTTGGCTTTGATTTGCATTTCCCTGATGATTGGTAATCTCTTTTTATTTAAAAATTTTATGTGGGTACAAATATATATATACATATATATATATATTTATTTATTTATTTTTGAGACAGAGTCTCGCTTTGTTGTCCAGGCTAGAGTGAGTGCCATGGTGTCAACCTAGCTCACAGCAACCTCAATCTCCTGGGCTCAAGCGATCCTTCTGCCTCAGCTTCCCAAGTAGCTGGGACTACAGGCATATGCCACCATGCCTGGCTAATTTCTTCTATATATTTTTAGTTGGCCAATTAATTTCTTTCTATTTATAGTAGAGACGGGGTCTCACTCTTGCTCAGGCTGGTTTCAAACTCCTGACCTCGAGCAATCTGCCCGCCTTGGCCCCCCAAAGTGCTAGGATTACAGGCATGAGCCACCATGCCCAGCAGGTACAGACATTCAGATTACATATATTGCCTTTGCACCAACTGATTCAGAGCTACAAGTGTGCCCATCACAGACAGTGTGCACCACATACATTAAGTGTGCATTTCCTAATCCACTCCTCCACCCACCCACCAGCCCGACAACCAACAAATGTTATTAATACTTCCATATGTGTACATAAGTATTAATAAATTAGTACCAATTTGGTAGTGAGTACATGTGGTACTTATTTCTTCATTCTTGTGATCCTTCACTTAGAAGAATGGGCTCCAATGTAATCCAGGATAATAGAGAAATTGGTTCACCATTGGTTTTGTGGTTGAGTAGTACTTCATAGTATACATATACTACATTTTATTAATCCACTCATGTATTGATGGGCACTTGGCTTTTTTCCACATCTTTGCAATTTAGAATTATATTGCTATAAACATTTGAGTGCAAATGTCTTTATTATAGTGTGTTGTGGCATTTTCCTCTTTGTGATGAATCTCCCAGGGTTCCTATGAGCTTCTTGTACCTGTATATCTAGATTTCTAGCAAGGCCTGGGAATTTTTCTCAATTATTCCCTTGAATAAATTATCCAACACTTGTGTATTTTCTTCCTCACCCTCAGGGATGTCTGTAATTCCTATGTTAGCCCTCTTTATATAATCCAGTATTTCTTATAGGCTTTGCTCCTTCCTCTTATTTCTGTGGTCTACCTCTGTGACTCACTTGTTCTGTTGAAAGATATTGTCTTCAAGCTCTGAGATTCTTTCTTCTGCCTCATTTAACTGTTCTTAAGGCTTTCTATTGTATTTTGTAATTCCTTGAATGAGTTGTTCATTTCTAGAAGTTCTGTTTGATTATTCTTTAGTAATCTCATTTCTTAGTGAATTTTTCATTCATTTCCTAGATTGTTTTTGTGGTTTCTTTGTCTTGGGTTTCTATTTTATCTTGTATTTCATTAAGCTTCCTTATAATCCATGTTTGAAATTATTCATCTGTAATTTCAATATTCTGCTTTTGGTTGGTATCTATTGCTAGGGAGCTGCTGTTTCCTTTTGGGGGTGACCTTTTTCTCTGATTCTTCATACTTCCAGAGTTCTTTTGCTCGTTCCTTCTCTTCTGGAACAGATGCTGCTTCTTACTTTTGGATTTTCTTTTGTTTAGATACTGAAATACCCAGTTTGATCTCTGAGTTAGTAGGAAGTGCTTATGGGTGTGAATTAACCACACCCTCTATGACTGAGTCAGTAAATAGTGTATTGGACATAAAAATTGACCTCCCTGTCAATAGGTGGTATTTGCTGGAGAGAGTAAGCTGCGCTGTTGTTTTGAATCCCGTGACCAACTCAAGTTCCTCAGGAGAAGCCCTCTAATGCCCCATATGGTGGGTGGGGCCCTGGAACTTCTAGGTGAGTCATTTATTCACCATCACAGCAGAGGTAGGAGTGGGAATGAGGTTGGGCAGGGTTAGGTTGGGTGAACCTGTACTTCAGCTCTACAAATGCTGGCAAGGGATATGCAGGCATTAAAGGACTGTTCCCCACCTCTGGGATAAACTGCATGGGAAGGGCTGAAGTGGCCCCACTTAACCAGAGAGTCTCATATGGAGGCCGGGCTGTCTGAGACCTACAGTCTCTTAGTCTGGAGCAGGCCCCACTCCTTTCAAACCTGCCCTATTTCTCAATTTCTCTTGGACCTCTGCCTATAGGTCCAAGGTTTTTTTTTTTTTTTTTTTGGAGCAGCGGTTCCAGGTTTAATTTGGGGTTGCAAAGGGCGCCGCGCCACCGCTCAGGGAGGGCTCCGAGGGCCCACAGCCGGGCCACACAGGGCGTTTGCTTTTTGCAGCTGAACAGAGGAACGTGGAGTTAACTAGAAACATGGCCCAGGGCCCCCCGTCTGCCTCCAGGACCCGGGGACACAGGGCGGCTCCGCTGACCAGGCCTTCTCTTCGGGACACCCCTAGCCCTGGGTCTGGGAGCCCGCCCACCCCCGCTGCCCCTCTGAAGTCAATTCCTTGAGGGGGAGTCCGGCAGGGGCGGCCCCAGCAGGGGCGGGCAGGGAGGGGGGCGCCACAGCCCCCAAACTGGAAGAGCCCCCCTCCCAGCCATTTTGGGAACAATAAATACTGTGTGACGGCAGCAGGGCGGGGGTCGCCGCAGGCCCCTCACTCCGTGCGCTGGATGATGTGGATGCCGGAGTCCGTGAACACCGGCCCGCTCATCTCCCCAGTCCGCAGCGCAAACGAGGCGTCTTCGAATGGCTTCTGCATCTGACCTCTGCTGAAGGCACCCAGGTTTCCCCTGGCCTTGGCCGAGCTGCAGTCGCTGAACTGTGAGGCCAGAGATTCAAAGTCCTCCTCTCCCGACTTGATCTTCTGGATGTAGCCATTGATCAGCTCCAGGGCCTCCTCCTTGGTCCGGGTGATCTTCTCCTGCCGCCTGGACGAGGGCCGCCTTGACTGACTGTGCTTGACCAGCAAGTGTGAGCAGCGGACCCTGGCGGGCTCCCCCTGCCCGTTTTTGCCACTACTGGTGCTGTTGCCACTGGGCCGCTCCCATTGGCTGGCTGCTCCCATGGGCCTCAAGTCAGCTGAGCTCCCCAACAACTTTGATGCAGGCAGAGAGGTTCCCTAGTCAGTGTCCCAGCCTGAGCTAAGAGCCTGGCCCTCCCATGGGAAGAGGGATGATGCCCCACTAGGTCATCACAGATAGGATCCATACTGCTCTCTCTCCTGGTTCTGCTCCTGCAGGTACCCACACCAATGAGATTAATTCACAAATATCCTCTCTGTGCCCCTGGGTGATGAAGTTGAGACCTGAGTGTATGGAATCTGGCCTGCAGGCCTGTCCCCAGGGCTCCAGAGATCAATCCCTGACCAAGCCAAGGAAAAGAATACTGGTCCTGGGTTACACATAGGGTGCCCCTGGTGGTTCAATGTCCCTCTGCCTTGGTGCCCTGTCCTGTTATAATGGGGATGCATGTCATCTCCAACCCTCTCTCTGGGATGTAGTCCTCCCAGAATGACCAAGCTCTGAAGTCGTGCAGAACACCCCAGTACCCACTGTACTTCTATGGATCCTACAGTCTGGGTTGGAGTTAAGAAATGTCTGTGTGGAAATGAGCAGGATGGAGCCTGGGGAGTTGAAGCCCCCAGGAGAGGACAGAGGTGCCTGGTAGTTATAGAAACAATATGGTGCCTGCTGTCCCATTTGAGTCTGTGGATGGGAGGTGCCCTTGGGGCATACTGGGAACCTGTAGTTCTGTTTGCAGGAAGCTTCCCACTCACTAGTGGCAGCCATCTCTGAACTTGTGTGTATAGAAGGACTCTCTGGTTGCTTAGGAGTGTGCAGATGGCATGATGACTGGATCTGGAGGGCTGGTTCAGGACCCAGGAGGCAGGAGGCAATTAAGACCTAGAAGGGAGGCTTGAATAGATTGGCTGCAATCTGCCTGTTAGGCACCAGGATCCCACAGATGCAGATCAGCCATGCAGAGAATGCAGCTCCCTTGGTCCTGCCCAGAGCCCACTGAAGCAGCTGCTGAAAGCCTCCAAGGGTGGAGCCCTCTATAGCCCAGAGTGAGAGCCCTTGGGCCAGGGGTGAGATGGAGCCCAAACCAAGCCTCCAAATAGGTCCTCCAAGCTTGGGACCCTAAAGATGGAGGCCAACTGAACCTGGAGAGTGGGCATTAGGGCCAAGGATGCAGGAGACAGCCAGGGCTGAGCAGGTGGGCTTGGATGAACAGGCCTCAAACTACTTCTTAGGCACCAGGGCCTGCAAATGCAGGTCAGCTGTGCAGAAAACATGGCTTTCCTCGCCCCACCCAGAGCCCACTGAATCGGTTGCCAGGGGCTTCCAAGGGCAGAGCCCACTGCTTTCCAGTCATCTCCCATGTCCTGGTCTCACTGACTTCCAGGGGTGAAGTGCCCATTTCCAAATTCCAGTGTATGGCCCAAGGAAGCTGAAACTTAGTCCATTCCCTCCTCATCCCAGTGCAGTCCTGGCGCAGTGTACCTGAGAGTTTAGTATGGCTCCTGCTATTGTCTCCTCTCCAGAGCCTATTGTCTTGTGCAATGGTTTTGCACCAACTCCAGGCGTGTCCCTGTCTGAGCAGGTAGGAGAACTGTGGGGGTTGTGGGTGTCTTCCTGTAAGTCTGATCACACTGTGCCTGCTGGATAAGTGTGGCCCTCCTGTGCTCTGTTGTCTATTGCATTCCCTATGCTTTACAGTCTTTGTGGATGTATCTTTCTGTCACCTTTTTTTCTGCACTGAGTGTCACACACAGCTTCTCTGCAAATTCACAACGCTGTCTTTGGAGTAAGCCATCACGTGTAGGCAGCTGTCTGTGCTCTTCACCTCCTTCCCTGGGAGTGGTGAGCTGGGAGGCCACCACTAGTCTGCCATTTTTTCCTGACTAGTAATCTTGAGCATTTTTTATATATCTATTGGCCATTTGTATGTCTTATTTGGAGAAATGCCTATTTGGGTCCTTTACCCATTTTCTAATCAGATTTTTTTTTTTTTTTTTTTTGCTATAAGTTGTTTGTGTTCCTTATATATTTTGGATATTAACCCCTTATCAGCTACATAGTTCACAGATATTTTTCTCCTCAATCTTCCTTTTCATTTTTCTGATTATTATTTCCTTTCATATGAAGATTTTAGTTGGAGTAGTCACACTTGTTTATTTGGGCTTCTGTGTCTTGAACTTTTTGAGCTTTTTTGAACTTTTATCCAGAAAATTACTACCAAGGACAATGTCAAGGAACATTTTTCCTATGATTTGTTCCAGGAGTTTTATGCTTTCAGGTGTTATCTTTAAGTTTGGTATCTATTTTGAGTTCATTTATTGTAAATGGTATAAGGTAAGTATCCAATTTCATTATTTTGCATGTGGATATCCAGTTTACCAACACTATTTATTGAAAAGACTATCTTTTCTCCATTGTGTTTTCTTGGTGTCCTTGTTATATATTAGTTGACCATATATGCTTGTGTTTATTTCTAAGTTTTCTATTGGTCTATTTGTTTGTTTTTGTACCAGTGTCATAGTATTTTGATTACTATAGCTTTGTAGTATAATTTGAAATCAGGAAGTGTGATGTCTCCAACTTTATCTTTCTCAGGGTTGCTTTGGCTACTTAGAGTCTTTTGTGGTTCCACATGAATTTACAAATTACTGTTTCTATTTACGTAAGAAATGGGATTGGGATAGGGATTGCATTATTTTTGCATAGAATTTTAGTAGCATAGACATTTAAAATATATTAATTCTTCCAATCCATGAACTCAAAAACCTTTCCAATTATTTCTATCTTCTTCAAATACTTTTGTCAAAGTTTTATAGATTTTGGTGTACACCACTTTCCCCTCCTTTGTTAAATTTATGCTTCAGTACTTTATTCCTTTCTCTACTATCATAAGTGAGATTATTTTCTTGATATTTTTCAGATAAGTTACAATTGGTATAAACAATTACAACTGATTTTTGTTGACTTTGTACTCTAAAATAAATTAATTAAAAAATTAGTAACATTAAAGTACCCTAAAAATTATCTGTGTGGGAAATAGACAACATATTTCTAAATAGCCCCATGCCAAAGAAATTGCAAAAAATTTGGGGCCGGGCGCAGTGGCTCACGCCTGTAATCCTAGCACTTTGGGAGGCCGAGGATTGCTCGAGGTCAGGAGTTTGAAACCAGCCTGAGCAAGAGCGAGATCCCGTCTCTACTAAAAATAGAAAAAAAATTAATTGGCAAACTAACATATATAGAAAAAATTAGCCGGGCATGGTGGCGCATGCCTGTAGTCCAGCTACTCGGGAGGCTGAGGCAGTAGGATCGCTTGAGCCCAGGAGTTTGAGGTTGCTGTGAGCTAGGCTGATGCCCGGGCACTCACTCTAGCCTGGACAACAAAGCGAGACTCCGTCTCAAAATAAATAAATAAATAAATAAAATAAAATAAAAAAGAAATTGCAAAAAATTTGGAAGGAATTTCAAATTAAATGGTAAATTAAAACAACAACTAAAATTTGTGGGTTACTTTTAAGAGATATTTTTACAGAGAAATGTATGGCTTTAAATGTGTATATTGGAAAAGAATCATTGATCTAAATTTCCATACAAAGAATCTAGAAAATAAAGAGCAAAATGAAGAATGTAGAGAAAGATAGTAGTACTGGCAAGTAGTTGGAGGAGGGGATGCCATACTTACTTGAGTATGCATAAGTTGGGTGAGGAGGACAACTGGCTTGATTCAACATTCATCCAATGTAATGTCTCTGTCTTTCTCTCTTTTTCCTTGTCTCTCTCTCACACTCCCCACCCAATACATTCTCTCTTCTGAGAGTCCTTAATGGATATGGTGGCTATAAGTCTCCAACCCACAATGAAACTGAGAGTGCTTTAACTTCAGAGCACACAGAAAATCTGGTTTATTCCTGCATTTTAGTTAGCAGCAGTAACTCTGCTGTAAATTTCAGGAATATTAGATTTGGATAACTGTCAAGAAATGCTAGACAAGAGGACGTGGTCTTTATAATGATGTAACAGCCTCATGAAATATAGACATATCTATAAATGCGCTAAGTTCTAGCAGGAATAATCTGTGAAATCTACTCTTTAAAGTAGGAGACCCTAAGATAAGACTATAGGGTAAGCTCCTGAGATGGCCTCAGCACAATAATACTAATTCATCTACTATTCTTTGTTAGTCTCTCTTTGTGTTATTTTCTAATTATATTGATTTCAAAAACAGTATGTTTCAATAACCTGGCTTCCTACTCAGATTTTCTATTGTTCAGCAGTCACCAATCATTCAGAAAGAATGATCCATGGGTTACAAGTGAGACAAGAAAGTTGGTATCTGGGAAAGTTAACAGAATGATGTTTCCATAGGGACTAATGAGCAATAACTTTTCTGTGATGTTCACATAGTCTCCCGATGTCTTCCTGAGGTGTCTTCTTCAATCCCATTATTTTCGACATAGGATAGTTGAACCCATTTTTTGGTCTTAAGTTCTGTATTGTGAGCAGGATTTTTTACATTAAGAGAGATTTCATTAAGGATCCTTATTATTATTAAAAAACCCTCAAATAAATTTGTTCAATTTTTTTGGAGAGAAAAATAAATTTCTGGGCATTCAAACTTCTAAGGAAATATTAATGTTAATAACAATTTTGAACCCTATGCAAATAAGAGACATTGTGGAAAGATGGCTAACACAGGGATAGGAGCCAGGAAAGCCACCTACAGTCCATTATACAGACTTGCAGATCCATTGGTAACAAGAAGGAGGAGGGCACCTGCTACAGCTGGATGTTCTACTTGGCAGGCATTATTTACTTGCAATACAGGTCAGAGAAAAGGGAGCACAAAAGGAGAGTCTATCCACTCCAGAGTGTCACATTATATTGAATGATGAATGTAAACTTTTCTACTGTGTTATAAAATATTAACAAACTTATAGTAATGGATTTTCATAATAGACATCTTCTAAAAGAAGATGTACCTAATAAAAAATGAGATGTTATAGGGGGCTCTGATATGTATAGATGCCCTGATGGGGAGTGGGAATTGTAAATAGGATTATATTTCTGATAGTAAACAGAAGATGTCTATTTCTGCTGCAGCTGAGCTGCGTTCCTCACCCCTGCATGTTTCTTCCCAAAAGAGACAGGGGAAGCACACACTTCAGAAATGAAATCTCATTTCTGGTGTTTTTATGCTCCTTTTTATAGCAAGAGATATTCTCAATATTTGTATCTTTCCTGTATCTATTTTTCTCTCTCTTGCTCTTATGCTTTCCCAGATTTGTGATGACTTTCTTTGTATGGTTAATGCTAGTTATACAGTAAAGTTTTTACTCCACTGGCTGTATAATTATGATGAAAGTATGTGTGGTGTCGTTATTAAGTGGATTTTAATTAGGAATATTAGGATTTGAAGTAGAGGGAGAATAGGATGAAAGTGTATGAGGAGGACTCAGATTCCAGTTCCTCTGGTGGTCTGGAATACCAGGGACTTTTCCGTACTGAAAAGGGAGACTTCCTTTTGTCCTTCTCTGACCTTCTCTATTTCCACATTTGGCAGATGGCTCTGTCTGTCATCTCCTCTAGTATTGACATTTGGTGCTGTGTGTTATGGCTATTAGGAGTTTGCATGTCTGAGGATGAGGACATTTATTTAGGGGACAAGATTTCAAGTGAAATCCTGAAGGTCTGGGAATGATGAATGTACACATGTGTTTTAATAAACTTTAGAATTTCTTAGCAAACGTGGACAAAAGTAAATAATACGAGGTAGACTAGAGACTTGGGAAATATGTTTAAAGTTAGGGGAACTTTTTGAAGTCTCCTAAGGAAAGGAAAAATAAATTTAGAGAATTGCTTTTTAGGGGATAAGTCCATATATCAAAAAATATGTGAGTAATTACAATAGTGAAAACCTTACAAAAAGTTCCAGACTCTAAAAAGCTATTTCTTTGTGACAATTTTTTAAACCTCTTTGCCTTAGTTTTGCAATTTATGCAGTGGAGTGAATATTATCTACTTCACAAAGTTACTTTGTGGATTGAATGAGATAATGTTTGTAAGCTGCTTAGAGTGCCTGGCACTTGGCATAGACTCAGCAGATACAGCTTTGGCCCTCATTTATTGTACTTTCTAAATAATACATAGACTCTGAGAAGATCTCAGAGGAGTTCCTGATGAATGATTGTAATATGAAACCCATAAAATATTTCCAAGAATAATATATGAAATTGTATGTCGTATGTAGAAAGTGGCTGATTCTTGGAATACTGATCTGATACTCCTTCTCCTCCCCTGCAGCACATACACTGAAACATAGTTATTGACAAGTGGGAAAATGATAAAACTCAGGAAGAAAAGCCACAGATATACAGTTACCAACCTGAAACTCCTTCTGGGCTGGACGCACTGTGATGTATCACCCACCCGTCACTAGAGCATCAAAGGAGGATGTTCTTTTTCTTGTATCAGAGACTAATCATTTACTACCCTGGCCCTTTAGCTTCTCTTTGTCAATATCACTTTCTGTTAGTGCCTCTATGTGTCCTTTATCATTCTCCTAGCTTTTTCTTTCTCTCTCTC